GCCCTCTGGCCTGGACCCTGACTCTAAACTTGGAACTGTCCTCCAAACCGCTATTGCAACCTGCTACCGGACTACACTCTTCTACCTGACATAAGTAGCCTGAACTGACACAGTTGTCCTCCAGAGGGCGCATGAGCCCACAGATTTGTGACAAGGTGAGCTTAGGTAATGTTCCCACTACCAGCCCAGAGTTCTGAAGCTAGGCATGTTCGAATAACTGCCAGGAGAATGAACAAGTCCCACCATGACCTCGGAGTCGGTCGGCCTTAACTTGTGGAAAGAGCCCAGCCACGTGATAAGGAAGGAGTTGACCTACACTGCCACGCAGAGAGACACAGACCCTCCCTTGCGGTGGTCACACAGCCACACAGTTTAACTACCCTGACATGGTTCACAAAGATAAAGCTGTCCCGGGATGCAGAGAGAGGACACAGAACTCAGGCCAGGGGGCAATGGGCCCTTGCAGGTTGCTGTGAGTTCCCAATGGGTTTAGGAGATTTACTGGGTGGGTCAGCTGCCCTTCCCCAGTTTCTTCTAAAGGGAGACAAGAGCTCCTTTAGGGCCCCCAGACTATGCTGGGTCACTGGGGTAACGCTTCTGTGCTGTTCTTCGTGCTGAATCAAATATAGGGATAGTCGTACACCTATACAGGATGCCTCCCGTCACTCATGAGATGTCTGGGTTGCCATGAGTTCAGAGCTGCCCCACTTCTGTGGGATTTGGGGAGATCCTGTCTCCAGCCCCAGACTCTCCCAGGATCGCCGAGCTGGCCTGCATAGCACCTAGACTCTGCCCTGAACCAGCTGGCTGATCCTAAGCGCCTTGCTGACCCCGAAGCCTAGGCTCCTCCTCCAACGAAGTTTCCTGCAGGATTGGAGTGAGTTAATCCCACGAAGGGCTAGGTCTCAGGCAGGTGTTGGCCAGGCATCAGCTGTGACATGACTGCTTTGCTGTGGCTCCCCAGGACTTAGTGGCAGGCTCGTCCCTTTGACCTACCGGTTTCTAACAAGCTCCCTATGTGCACATGTCCCCTTTCCTCCATCTGGCCAATTCCCACACTGTTTACCACTGCTCAGCAGGCTCCTGGGACTCTGGGGCTCTGTCCTGTGGTACAAACACTGTTACTGGGGTGTGTGTAGCCCTTCCCTGTTTGCCTAAACCAGAGCGCTTCATGTTCCTCAAGAGAGACACCTTGCTTTCGTGCTTAATTCAAGTTGTTTTGTTTACTAAGTAAGTAAATGGGTGGCTGGAAGAGTGGAATGCTCAATAATCAAGACTGGCATTTAACACAGTGCCTTCTTCTCTGTATAGCTATGCCGAGCACACACACACACACACACACACACACACACGCACACAAATAGGGTGGGAGTGAGTGGCTACACGTCGGCATTCTATCATCACTCACTGTTTGGTTTAATTCTCTCAAAACCTCTTTCAGCTACCCCAACGCACAGCAACGCCCCCAAGCTTGGTGGACTAAATTAACAACCATCGAACTGTGCTCACCTCACGACTTCTGTGGGTCAGGAGTCGGGAGTACAAGAGCAGAGGGCTTCTTTCTGCTCTGTGTTGTCAAAGCTCGGCTTGGAGGAATCAGAAGAGGGTGACCCCAAGACAGCCTTCCTGAAAAGCTTGTCCCCTCTCATAGCCGGCAGGGTGTCACACAGCTGACAGGCAGAGGTGTGCACATAGCTGCCCCACGAGTCTGTCTGGGCTGCCCCCAAGTCCTGGTGGTCAGGTCCCACGCAGGACAACTCAAATGAGACAGGGCAACCTTGGCGGCATTACGGTGACCCAGCCTTTTACACCAAGGACACAGGTCAGCGGTAGAATGTTTGTCTCAAATGCAGAGAATGGCCCATTGGGGGAAGAAAACACAAAGCTCCAAGGTTGAAGGGGAGGAGACAGACACCGCAACCCACAGCTTGAGTGTCAAAGTCACACAGGAGGAAGGCACACTGAAATTGGAGGTGTTGGTATTGGGGAGACAAATTACCATACCACCTCCCCCTTAAAGTGACCACTGTGAGTACAAAGAGACCGAGAGGATTGCAGAGGCATCCTGAAAACCGCCAGACACAGTCAGGCCTCACACTGGAAAATCCAGGAAAACAAATGGACTAATACTTACCAACCACAGTACAGCACCCGTGGAAAGCATAAACACAGACTAGTCCATGGGTTTCTATAGGTCAAGGAGAGCTTCAAGCCCATAAAAAACTAGATGCTTTTTATTTTATTAACAAAATTGTGAAGCTATAGCTGAATGAAAATATGTGGTTCATACTTTGTAAAAGTTTATAAAATAATAACAAATTGGTAGTAAGAACTGTTTGCTCTCAGCCAGATGTCCCTGCCCTAATTTTTCAAGAAGTAAAGCAACAGAGCCAGGTAAGCGTGTGACTTGGGGCTACACCCCAAGCCTTTCCTTGTTCACATCAGGATTTTCTTAGGCTGAGCTTTCTGCAAGTCACTCACCTACTGCTCTTGCCATCTGTGCACATGGTGGATCACACCTGGTCGCTCCCTAGAACACGAGATGAGACAACAGCCCAGGCCCAAGTCCATTCTCTGCTTCATGAAGATTTCCAGCTGCAAATCACAGCAGAGGTGAAACTGAAATCTGTCCTTTCATAATCAAAACAGAATTGTGAATGCAATTCTGGAAAGAAAACAGAAAATTCAAAAGGCGAGCATCCCGAGAAATATTTAGATCAGGCTTCTGTGTACATGTGTGGTGTGTACATTTCTAGGTACATGTCGATAGGTGTATATGTAGGCCAGAAGAGAACATGAGATGCCTCCCTCTACTGCTTCTGTGTACATGTGTGGTGTGTACATTTCCGTGTACATGTTAACAGGTGTATACACAGGCCAGAAGAGGACATCAGGTGTTTTCCTCTATTGCTTTCCACTTATTCCCTTGAGACTCACTGAACCAGAAACTCGATGTTTTTTATTTTTGTTGTTTTTGTTTGTTTGTTTTTATTGAACTATATATTTTTCTCCTCTCTCCTCTCTTCCTCCCCCTTCCTTCTACCCTCTCCCATGAGCTTCACACTCCCAGTTTACTCAGATCTTGTCTTTTTCTACTTCCCATGTAGATTAGATCCATGTATGTCTCTCTTAGGGTCCTCTTTGTTGTACAGGTTCTCTGGGATTGTGAACTGTAGGCTGGTTTTTCTTTACTTTATGTCTAAAAGCCACTAATGAGTGAGTATATTTATGTCTAAAAGCCACTAATGAGTGAGTATATATTTGCCTTTCTGGGTCTGGGTCACCTCATTCAATATGATGTTTTCTAGGTCCTTTCATTTGCCAGCAAATTTCAAGAAGTCATTATTTTTTTTCCCCTCTGTGTGGTACTCCATTGTGTAAATGGATCACATTATCCATTCTTCGGTTGAGGAGCATTCAGGTTGTTTCCAGGTTCTGGCTATGAGAAATAATGCCGCTATGAACATAGTTGTGGTATGATTGAGCATCCTTTGGGTATATACCCAAAAGTGCTATTGCTGGGTCTTGAGGTACTCCATGTTTTAACTAATCTGGCTTGTCAGAGACCTCTGAAGACCCTCCTGTCTCCTTCTCCCCCACTGCTGGGATTACAGACACCTGTGGTCACACCTAACTCTTAGATGAGCAGGGAGGTCAGCAAGTATTCTAACCCAGAAAACTCTCCCCAGCCCTAAATTTCATCTTACTTTACCTTGGTTACTCAGCATTTGGAGTCTGACTCAGCAAGCCTATGCTAAGGGAAGGTCGCAAGCAGAAGCCTTTGCTGCCTAGTGAGGTGCAAGACTGATGACTATCTTGAATATCACCATAGAACCTTCGTCCAGCAACAGATGGAGATAGAGACAGAGACCTACATCGGAGCACTGGACTGAGCTCCCAAGGTCCAGTTGAAGAGCAGAAGGAGGGAGAATATGAGCAAGGAAGTCAGGACAGCAAGGAGTTGGTCCACCCATTGAGACAGTGTGCCTGATCTAAGCGGAGCTCACCAAAGCCAGCTGGACTGGGACTGAACGAGCATGTGATCAAACTGGATTCTCTGAATGTGGTTGACAACTGGGGCCGACTGAGAAGCCAATGATAATGGCACTGGGATTTGTCTCTACTGCATGTACTGGCTTTTTGAGATCTTAGTCTATTTGGATGCACACCTTCCAAAGCCTGGATGGAGGGGGGAGGGGGAGTGGAAGGGCAGGAGGGAAATGGGAGGAGGGGAGGAAGTGGAAATTTTGAATGGTATTATTTATAAAGCAATAAAAATAGGAAAAAAAAGATGTTGACAGGGCTGTGCACTCTACCCTCTGGCAGCCTGAAGTTTAGCGAGAGAAGGAGGCAACTGCACCAGGGTTTCTTAAAAGTGCCAAAGACAACAGGAGGCGCCGTCACCACTTGTTAAAAGGTGACTTTCCGTCTAGCCCAAAGGGTCGAATCTCAGTCATCTTGTTAAGGGCTACAGTCTTTGGGTAAGAGTTGACTCCCATGGTGAGGACTGGCTTTAGAACCCTAGTCCTTGGGTCTTTTCTCCTTTCCTTAGCCAGCAAGGCAGGAAGCTGTTAAACATGACCCTCAAATAGTGACCAACAGCCCTATTAAAGCGCCTACTCCACACTCATGTCTTTCTTGAAAAGTCTTCACGGAGCTTGAGGGTCTGGCTCCTATCTGTAGCAGACCTTCTTTTGGACCCCCAACCAACTCCCAAATCATGATGCAGAGTCTAACTATTAATTAGGAATGCCTGGACTTACCTTATGCTTGTCCCACTAGCTCTGATAATTTAACCTGTTTCTCTTCATCTGTATTTTGTTTCATGGTTTGTTTTTTTTCCCTTTCTTTCATTATCTCTGTCTTACTCAGGGTCTGACTGGCTCGTGGCTGCCTGGCTGGCTGGCCCCAGGTACCCCCCTCTTTTTTTATACCTTATTCTCTCCTCTCCCAAGCCTAGATTCCTCCTCTTAGTCTCTCTGCCCACCAACCCCACTAGCTATTGGCCACTCAGCTTTTTATTAGACCAATCAGGTGCCTTAGGCAGGTAAAACACCACATCTTTACATAGTTAAACAAATGTAACATAAACAAATGTAAGACATCATTACATAGTTGAAAAGCACAGCATAAATAAATGTAACACATCGTTACATAGTTAAACAAATACAGTATCAACAAATGTAACACATCATTACATAGCTAAATAAATACAACATATATAAACAAATGTAACACATCTTTGTCAAAAGTAATATTCCACAGGACACCTATCTACACAAGCATTGTATCCCCACAAACATTGCAGGCAACATTTCACAAATCCTTTTAGAAGGGTCTGGCAGGATCAGCCATGCCGGCCACCAGGAGGGAAACCTGCTGTCCCCGGGAACCAACAAAGCCTTGGAGGTCAGGAGGCTGTTGTTCCCATCATGACTAGCAGCTCCCAGATTCACTGACATCTGCAGGGCGGGGACTCTAGGACACATCTGTCTTCTGGCTGCTGACACTGAGCTTTGATGTCTGGGATGAGACCCGAAGTTCCAACATTCTCCGGTGGCCTGAGCACCAAGGGTGGCCTGGCCAGTCGTGAGCACTGGACATCCCTACCCTGGTGGCTCTCTTGCTTCAGGGAGGCTTAAGGTCACTCCATCTTATGTTTCCCCTGCTTTTTCATCCTTCCCTCCAAATCCCAGGACCTACATCCTCGTCACCATCAGTTCCTAGGTAAGGACCAGGTGGGTGTCTCTAGACTGCTGGGAAAGTATTTGCCTTCAGAAGACTGGCATTTGGACATAGTTGCTGGATCCTCCACCTTCCAGGAGGATGTGAAACTCCCTAGGAGCCAGCTGAGACTTCCTGTCCTCTGTTCTTTGCATGTATGGGTGTGTCACTAGGTTGTCTGATTGATTCTCTAGTAGGGTTTACTTAACTAGATAAGAACTAGAGACTTGGTATGGTCCCTATCCACTAGTTCCTCTCACCTACCCAGAGTCAGGCTGATGGAGTCAAAAGATCCACGTGACAGCACGGGACCTGTGTTCAAGTAAGCACAAAAAGGTTCCAGAGTAGAAGAAAGGGGACGCTTTCTTGTTGGGAGTCTTCCTGACAACAGGAGTCCTGGTCCTGGGCCCTCCAACCAGCACCTGTGGTCTCAGCTCCAGCTTCAGGCCTAGAACTCAGAAATCCACCTCGGGTGCAACTGACCTCTTCATCAGGGACAGGTACCAGGGATCCAGGTAACCCATGATACATGGTGGACAATGCCATCCAGACCTCTGTTGAGAGCTGTTGTGAGCTCCCATTCTCCAGGTTTCCAAAGCAGGGAAGTTCAGAGAGTAGCAGCGCGAAGAGGAGCTTAGGGCGGTGACGAGCAAAGCCCCGCCCCGCCACTCGGAGGGTTGCCCTGCCCCTGGGTCCCCGTGTGTCCCCCGCCCTTCCAGTGGCGCGCGTTTACCTGCCAGCAGACGGAGTGAGGCGGGGCGGGAGCGGGGTGCGTGCCCGTCCCCAGAGCAGCCACTGTCAGTCACCGCCGCTGAGCGCCAGCGAGGACGAGTCTCTGGCCCAGGCGGCCGGCGTCTCGCGACCCCGAAACCCAGGACCCGCGGCCCAGCGACCCCGAACCCAGCGTCCGGTTCCTCCTGCCGAGCTCCCTGGCGCCGCTTGACCTCCGAGCCGCAGCCAGCACCGGTGAGTGATGATTATCAGGGACGAGCGGGGCCGCCCTGGAGCCTTTGTCTCGGCGCCCCTCTGAGCGGGAGACCCCAGCACCGAGCCTGACTCCCAGAGAGGCGGAGAAGAGGTCGCTCGGTACCGGCCGCAGAGCTCTGGTCCCTCTCCCAGGCCAGGAGCGCCCGGGTCACACCTGACCAGAGAAGCAGGTGGCCCCGCAGGTGGCAGCTAGGCGACCTCTCGGACCGATACCACGTCGGCAGTCTCGATCTTTCTTGGGAAGTGGTGGACGCGGTTGTAGACTCAGGTCCACAGCGGTGGGGACTGGAGGCCTGAGGGATATTCCCGGGTAGTCTCTAGCCAAGCCTGGGGACCCCGGGGTCGCTGAAACTCGCGCGGCCTGGAAGTGGTGGGGGGAGGAGTTTAGGGGTGGGAGGTGACCTCGGTCGAGAGAGACCGCCCCCAGCGTGAGAGAGGGGTCTTGGGCGGCTCCTAAGGCACAGCAGGGGTCCATCTAAGCCTACAGCGCCTGCTAACCACACACCTGCTGCCCCTCGGAAGATCCCTGTCCTGCCCCTCCCCACAAGGAGAAGCAGTTTCTCTTTGAGCAGAGGGCGGCGACAGGCACTTGCCCAAGCTTCCGCCTTCTCGGGGCCTGTGTCTGGCTCCTAGGCCCTTTCGGTGCCGCACGCAGACCCCCCCACCCACCCTGTCCACCTGCGGCCACCTGCTGGCCTCTGTCCAGCTGGAGTGGTCTTCCCGCTGTAACTGGATCTCTTGGTCCTGCTGAAGCGCCTGGTCCCAGTTGCCCCTCGGGGTGAGAGCAGTCCTAGTGTTTTGCTTTGGTTTGTTATAAACTCTGGTTTTTAGGGCATGGGCGTAAGCCGCTTGGGATTTCGAGGTACTCCTTTAGTCCCCTGATTTGGGAGGTGGAGCAAGGCTTGAAAAAGGGCTTGCGGTTCCCTGAGGAATCAGTTTGGACTCTGCTGCTTGCCAGCAGGATAGCTGCTGATCCACTCAGCACACAAGCGTGGATCTGTACAGTCGGGGAGAGTCTTGGAACTGGGGGTGAGAGTCAGTAGGGGTAGGAGACATCAGACATCAGGCAAGCATCGCCTCTGCCTGCACTGGACACGGGACACACAACTAGAGCGACTTTTTCAGAGGAAGGAAACCTTAGGGAGGTCTCGTTAAGACTCGTAGCTTTGGAGGGTATGTCTAGGTAAGCTTAGAAGACCACCCCCTCACTACCCATGACTCTCCCAAATAGAGCTTACTCTGCCAGCACCTCTGGAATTGGTGTGGGTACCTGCTCTAGAGGATGGCATCCCCGGAAGAGACGGTCCCAGGCCAGAGAGCGGGATAATCACCACGCAGGTGCACGGCAACCCAGCTTGTGTAAACATCCTCAGATTCTCGGTGGGATATACAGACACCTGAAAGAGAAAATACAGTTTAAAATAACCATGAATATGAGAGGCAACGCCTAAGGATGTAATTGTTCTGAAATACCTGCGTTTTATCAACTTGAGGATATATATATATATATATATAACTAGTGTGTTCAAATCCGCTTTTAATGTCTGTCTAGATATGGAGTGTTGGTTCTTGGTGGAAATAGTGTGTGGTTAAGAAAAGATGTGCGAACACAGAAAAAGAACATAGCCCCATCTTTCAAGGATGTTCAGATTTAGCTTGGGTTTTGGAGTGCCAAAGCTTTTTCTGTTTGATTCTAGGTTTCCTCTTCAGGTTGGATTATATTTACTTATTTATCTATGTGTATATGTGTGTGAACACGGGCAGGGGTCAGAGGATAAGTTGCAAGGGGGTCAGCTCTCGCCTTCCACTATGTAGGTTCTCAGGTCGTCAGCCCTGGTGACCACGACAAGTGCTTTCACCCCTGAGTCATCTCTCTAGTCCCCTCCAGGTTCTCTCAAATGTCAGCGACTGCCTGTGCCTCCCCAATAGCAGGTGACATTGACTGACCACTCACCAAACACCAGGCTCCCTGCCGAAAACTGATAACCACTGCATTTCAGTCTCCACTGCCCGGAGAGAGCTTCATTCCCCATCATTACCCTGTTAGTTGCCTCTCAGGCACAGAGGGGAAGTGAAGTGCCTCTGCAAAATTACCACCTGGCCTCGTGACCACTTAAAGGTGCCCCTCCTTTCTTCTTAAATGTCCACCATTAGAGGCTGGAGAGATGGTCCAGTGGTTAAAGATGCTCTACGGCCTTTGTAGAGGGCCCTAGTTCAGTTCCCAGCACCCATAGCTGTTGGCTCACAACTGCTTTGAACTCACAACTGCTTGGAACTCCAGCTCCTGGAAATCCGACACTGTCTCCCCGACTCTGAGGGCACCAGCACTTATGCAGCATACACATACTGCTCACATAGATATGCAGCATATACGTACTGCACACACAGGTATACATAGGACCCAAAGTTTTATGTCCTCCACTGGTGAGTGACCGTGCCTATGAAAACATCCACTTTCCATCCCCAAGGTGACCTGACCATAGAAACACCCATCTTAGGTGATGTCCCTGCCCTAGCCTCCTTTGCTGTTGACAGGAAGGCTTTAACTCTCTGTTAAAATCTCTGGTGGGTAGACTTCAGCCAAGAAGCAAAGTCAGCAGGAGATACTTGTTAGCAATCTGATTTGATCCGTTTGGAGGCAGCAGCTCTGGCAGAGGTGGGAGCCTGATCCACTTAGAACAGGTTGATGAGGAGGTAGCTGGACTCTTGGAGGAACCCCGGGCTGCTGAGCATGGGGCCATCTTCTGTCACGGCTTCTGCTGACTCCTGAGAACAAGTAGCATATTCTGAAGCCACCACAAGTCTCCACTCAGGAGGTTTAAAGATGTGACCCCATGATTCTGAAAGTTCTTTAGAAAGAGAGGCAGGCAGACAGACAGAAACTGGATGGCTGAGATGTAGCTCAGTTGGCAGAGCACTTGTTTAGCATGCACAAGACCCTGGGTTCAACATCCAGAACTCCAGCATCTTGTGAAAACTGGCAGCGTGGTACCTGTCTGTCACCCTCCCCCTGCTCCCAATTGGAAAATGACAATGGCAGAAAGATAAAAAATTCAAGGTCAGCCTCTGCCATGAAGAGAGTTTCAGGCCAGCAGAACATGAGACATGAAACCCTGTCTCAAAACAAAAGAAACAAAAAAGATGTGGGAAGAATGGAGTCAGCTCAGTCTCAGGGACATATGGAGTTAAAAGTGTGACTGAACACTCTCTGAGTTCTAAGAGATAAACCCGAAATGGATCAATTAAGATAGGAAAAGAATTTCAACCCACAACTAATCAGTGAAAAAAAAATAAAGTGATGATAAGATACTGTTTCACATTCCTTATACTAGTGAGAATTCTCAAACCCTGACTGTGCCACGTAAGTACGAAGAGGTAGAGAAAGGAGAACTCACATGTGAGTAAGAAATAAACACTTTAACTGAGACTGTACACAATCAATCCCCAACCTTATCCCTAAGCCCAGCCCTTACCCCCTAAGCACAACCCTAACCCAACCTTCAAGAGAATTCCTAGGAGGATGCATATGACCACGGATGTTCATTGAGACAATCTGTTAAAATCTTCTGTTTGGGGATAATAGTAGCCTTGTTGCAATTACAAGATATTGTGTAGAGAGCTGGGGGTGGGATATGTAGGTGTGATTACAGCACTCAGGGGGGTGGTGAGTGTGTGGCCACCCTGACTATATATTCTGTGAGATTCTGTCAGAAAAAGTGGGAGGAGGAGAGAGGAAGGAAGGGAGGAGGGATGGAGGGAGGAGGAAGACAGAAAAAGAAGGAAGGGAGGGAGGGAGGAAGGAGGGGGAGAAGAGAAGGGAGAGGAAGAAAAATAATAGCACAGAGCTCACGCGCACATGTGCCCTCCACTTAGTCTCCCCAATAACATCTTTCAGACTACAGCACAGCCTTGTAACCAGGAATTTAACCATGATACCAACCATTAGCCTTGCTCAGATTGCACACTTCACTGGTTTCCACGCCAACATCCCTATGTCTGTCACTATGCCTGTCTCCGTGTTTATGCATCTGGTTATACCCATAAGTTTATGTGTGTCTCTGTGTGTCTAATATCTGTGTGTGTGTGTGTGTGTGTGTGTGTGTAGATTTATGTGATGTCACCCTGTAGAATCACCTGGCTGCTAACACAATCAAGGCTGAGCCCCATTGCCATCTCAGCATGTCCCATGCTCCCCTTCACAGCTGTAGTCAACTTCCTCCATCCCCCTCCCCGCTGCCAACATCCAGTCCCTGGTTCTCTCTGGTGCTGTCATCTCTGTACAAATGCATCCGACGTGGCCCCTCCTGTGCTGTGCATTTTTCCTCAGTTCACACAGGTGGTTGAGTGCGTAGGCTACGGTTTATCCTGTGCTGTTGCTGTGTGCTTGTGTGGGGTAGAAGTTCCACTGTTTGCTCTCCAAGCTTCCTGGAAAGGGTGCTTGGGTCCTTTCTGAATGGAGTTACTGCACACAAAGTTGCTATGAACGTCCACCATCACTTGTGTGGACCTAGTTTTTGGATCTCTGGGATAAACACCTAGAAGTGCAGTTGCTGCATGTCGTGGCGAACACCCGTTCAACTGGCATCTCATTTCCAGGGAGAGGTGGCATTCTGCTTTCCACCCAGCACTGCCTGAGAGACCCTGATGGCACAGGCTTTCAGGTTCGCTCTAGTTTTGGTTTTGGTTTGCTGTTCTGGCGTAGTATAGGGGGACAGATCATGGTGGGTTTGATGGTGTGAAAAATTGAGTGTACGCCTTTGCCATCTGCAAGTCCTCCTCAGCAAAAAGGCTACTTGTTTCTTTCTTTCACTTTTGAATTGGGTCAGTAGTTTTTATTAACATTTGTTTTTGCTCGTTCTTCTGGTCTCTAGAGCTTCCGTCTTCCGCTCCTTCCTGACAGTTCAGTCTGTGTTTTCATCTTCTCTGTGAGAGTGTTCAGAGAAAAAGTTGGTTATAATTAATTATTTTGATGCATCTCAAGGTGTTCATTTTCCCGTTAATGTGGATTTGGGTTTTTTGCTTGTTTGTTTCGGATATATATATATATTTGGTTGGATATATATATATCCAACCAAATATATATATATATATTTGGTTGGTAGGTGTTTTGGTTTTTTTGGGGGGTGTGGCTTTTATGTTTTTGCTTAGGGGTGGTTTTGTTTTTGTTTTGTTTTGTTTGGTGTAAAGTCTTAAGAATTCTTCATCCAGCAGAATTGGACTACAGAGGCAGGTGGATCTCTGTGAGTTCAAGGCCAGCCTGGTCTACAAAGTGAATTCCAAGCCAGGAGAGCTACATAGTGAGACCCATCTCAAAAAACAAACAAAAAGTAAAAGGAAGAAAACCCAAGAATTCTTCACCTAAAGTCCTGAAGACTCCTTGTGCTCTTTTGTTTTTCGTTTTTGTTTCCACTTTTCCACACTTCAGCCTGTGATCCATTCTCAGTAACTTGTGTGTAAAGTGTGAAGTTTAGACTGGGGCTTTTTGCTAAAATACTTTTGGGGTTTGATAAAAGACTTTAGGAAATGCAGTTCATCAAATTGCTTTTGCCACTGTCAAAAATCATTTTCACATTTTGTTTTTGTGTTTGTCTGATTGTTGTTTGTTTTGGTGGCTTACTTCCAGACTCTGCTCCACAGAGCAGTGTGGCTGTGCCCTCATCAGGACCAGGATGTCTCCACCACTGACTCAATACGTGAGTTTGAGTCAGGCAGAGACGGTTCTTTCACCTCCTCCTCCCTGTCTTCGTTCTTCCCCTTTTATTCCTCCTCTTTCTCCTTCTCTTCTTGCCCCACCACCTCCTTCTCCTCCTTTATAAAAAACCATGTGGATGGAGAGAGGGCTGAAACACTGACTCGGCAATTAAGAGTACTTGTTCCTTGTCTTGCAGAGAACCCAGGTTCAGTTCTCAGTGCCCACGTGATGCTTCTGACCTCCATGGGCAACACACACACACATACACAGTGCGCATACAGAATACAGGCAAAACCCTCATACATAAAATATTTTTTTTTTTAGAAAAAAGTAAACTCATGCTGGATATTCCGGGTTCTCAGGCTCTCCAAAGAAATTCTAGTGTGGCTTCTTCACACACACAACACCCTTCCCTGGTGGCATTTCATGAGCACACGTCTACACCGGTGAACCGGTGTTGAGGGTTCCCACAGAAGATCATAGGTGGCCCCTGATTCCGCAGGCCATTCATTTCTTCCGTCAGATTTTTTTTTCTTCCACTGGTTTTTTTCTTCAGGACACTTAAATATTCATTTTCCTTGTGGCACTTGTAAGTGTCAGCATGTTTTGAACGTCAGTGTTTTTTTTTTTTTTTTGATATCTAGAACTGTGAGTGATTTTCACGTGTTAAGCGTGTGCCCTGCCACTTGGCCGAATGTTCTTGTTAAGTAACAGATGGTTTTTGGTTCACTTTCTGTGGTTTCATAGGTTTGTTGGGATATTCTACTAGAACGTGATAGCATCTACACGTGTGGTATTTTGTTCTTTCTTTCCACTCTAAGTCATGTAACCAGGCATGGTAGCAATGGTTCTAATGCCAGCACTCGGGAGGCAGAGATAGGTGAATCTCTCTGAATTGTAGGCCAGCCTTTTCTACATAATCAAGTTCTAGGCTAGCCAGGGCTACAACATGAAACAGAAGAAGCCAGGTGGTCGTGTTGCATGCCTTTAATTCCAGCACTCGGGAGGCAGAGGAAATGCACAGTGAGGGCCCACACATCTAGCTCTGCTCGGCTCACCTTGAATGCATTTGCACATGCACACAAACACACAGTCGTTGTCCTCAGGACTCCCTGTGCACATCCCTATCAAGCTGAATTTTTGTAATAAGAACTCGTGGAGTTGTTGATAAAGTTTTATGTTAACAGCATTTTTACATTTTGGCCATTTATGTCTAATTCTCTATCCATTCTTAGTCTTATCTCCTTTCTCCCTGTGCGCGGCTATATCTCATGGAGCGTCCTGTGGATAGTCACCTCCTTTGACTCTTCAGACGCTAGAGGTCTAAGTAAACTTGCTAGCTAGAAATTATAAAGGTATGCTGTGTGTTTCTCCCGCACATCAGAGGCACAGCTCCTCTATGGAAGTTCTGCTGTCTTCTCAGCACAAGACACCATGCAGTGTATCTCAGGCTGCACCAAGAGAAAGGAGAGGGAGTCCTTGACTTTAAGTGACTGTGGTTTTCTTAGGGATTTTGGAAGCTCCTCACTCTGTTTCCTAAGGCAAAGAATTTCCTGAGTGCCCTGCAGTATGTTCAGTGTCTGAAGCAGAAGGGCTGCCCTAAAATGGCGGCTCTCAAGACCAGGAATGAAGCTCAGTCAGAGATGGGTGGTTTCTTTACATACACAAGGTTCTCTTCCCAGCACTGCATGTATTGTACACATCTGTATAGCAGCAGGAGGAGGTAGAAGGATCAGAAGTTCAAGGTTATATTCTGCCATATGGCACCATCAAGGCCAGCCTGTGATACATGAGACACTGTCCCCCAAAAGGCAGCCAGAACTGCGGCTGTCTACCACATACACACCTTGTTGTTATAAAGGACAAAGCACTCCATCCTGTGCTTGCATTTTGGAATAGTCAGTGTGTTTTAGTCACTGCGACAGCTATCACAACAGAGTCCTGGTGTCTGCTGCATACACAAGTGGGCTTTGTTACTACTGATCTCATTCTACAGTGGATGGCCAGGAAAACCCTGTCCTGTGCAGAAACCAGGCATGTAAACCTGCTTTTTGCCTCTAGAAGCCAGATGAGGAGTTAGGACATGGTTTATTATAAATTGTTGCCTTAAAAGACCAGACAAATTAAATCAATAATTAAGAAAGCCAATGACATAGGGAAAGAAATAAAAAATGATTCTCATGTATATTAGGAGTTAGACTTCCTTTTTGTTGTTATCTTGGGTTTTTGTGATGGTGATGGTGGTCTTGTGTGTGTGTGTGTGTGTGTGTTTGAGACTGACTGTCATGTAGCCTAGGCTGGCCTCAAACACATTATGGAGACAAGGGTGACCTTGACTTCCTTATTCTCCTAACTCCAGCTCTCAAACGCTGGTATTACACGCTTGTGCTACCACTAGGCTTCTCTCGTGTGCATATTTACGTGTGTGTGTGTGTGTGCATGTGCGTGCACACACATGTGTGTATGTTGTGGTGGGTAGGGACAGCATGTATGTGTGGTGGGTAGAGACAGCATGTAGGGGTGTGCATGGGTGTGGGAGGGGAAAAGCTGGGGATGTGCATATATGCATGCATTGGGGGGTGAGTGGGGTGTATGTTTTCAGAAGCAGGCGATATGTGTTGGCTGGTTTTATTCTGATTCCTTCAGATGTCTGGTGAGATAATAGCCTTGGGGTATCCTGAAGTGTGGTGTGAACCCTAGCCAAAGTTGTTGTCCTAGAAATAGCAAGATTACACACTCTATTCAGAAGCAGGCATGGTGCACATGCTGTACCATATGTCACTGTACATTGTTTGATAAGGGGAGATGATGGTCTTGATCGCATTATCGTCTTCACGTGTCCAGACCTATTGCTGCAGAAAGAAAGACTCAAAGCAGATGCTATAAGCCAGCCCTTTTTGCTTCCAGACTACATGCTGGGAATCGTTACAGAAGGGGAGGCAGAACACAGAAGTGCAGAGATCAGTAAAAGGCCTGATAGCAAATAATTGGATTAGATAGAAAGATAGATGATAGGTAGATACAAGTAGACAGGCAGACAGACAGACAGACAGACAAATAGATGATGGATACATAGATGGAGAAGGCTGGATAGATAGTATAAGGATTCATAGGAAGGTAGGTAGAAAGAAAAGAAGGAAGGAAAGAAGGAAGAGGAAAAGAAAGAAGATAGAAAAGAATGGCTGAAGACAGGTGTAGTATGGAGCTGCGGGCAGGCCTGCTTTTCGCCTCACCCAGCTCCCGCACGGCTAGTTTAGTCCCAGAAATAACAACACACAAATTGTATTCATTTAAACACTGCCTGGCCCATTATCTCTAGAGAGTTAGTTACTGACTAACTCTCATATCTTGATATTAACCCATTTCTAATAATCTGTAGCACCACGAGGTGGTGGCTTACCAGAAAAGATTCAGCATGTCTGACCTGGTGGCTGGCTCCATGGCTTCTGCCTCATAGCCCTCTTCCCAGCATTCTATTCTGTTTACTCCGCCTACCTAATTTTCTGTCCTATCAAAGGGCCAAGGCAGTCTCTTTATTGACCAATGAAACTAACACAATAGACAGATAACCCTCCTCCATCAGACAGGGAGATGGATAAGATGGATAGTACATACATACATACATACATACATACATACATACATACATACATATCTTGGTATCTCACTGAACCCCAGTCTCCAGGACTTCATTGAATGGTCCTCCCCCCACAGGTAGAGTTTGCAAAACTTAACCTGCTTTCTACATTGAGGGGTTTACATCTGACCTCTTTCTATTGAACTAAATGAAGTATTGGGTGTCTCAATGCAGGGGTGGGGGCAGGGACCTTGAAGCATGAAGATCTGCCCTCCAAGCCCCAGCATCTGCCCAGCCTTCTCTAGGGAGTAGTCACTGCCTCTGGAGTCGTCTGCACACCTCCGCTGTGAGGGCGTTCAGTGCGAGGCACACCATTTCCTCACACAGAGCTCCTGTCCTCACGCGGGGTTGCCTCCAAGTAAATCGAGCAAAGACTTAAAATCCCCAAAGCTGTAACTCATGCAGCATACCCGGCCGCCAGAGCAGCAAGGTCTGGCCTCTTAGCCTGTGATGAGGTGGTGGAGAGTTCATAGAACTCACTGACATTCTGCTGAGAGTGAAGCACAGAACGGCCGTGCAGGTGTGAGTTCCCACCCTTCTAAGGAGGGATAGCTGCCTGCCCCAGGCAGATCCGGGGACAGAATCGTGGGAGAATGCGCCTTAGACCAGCAGTGTTGGTAGGCTTCGTGGAAGAGAGAAAGCGGCAACCAGCTGAGGCCTCTGCACTGTGACAGCTGCAGGCTGCACCTTGCCCCACATCACAGCCTGCGCCCTTGTGAAAGTGGTCACATGTCACTGGTCACAGCTGTGCCAGATGCCCTGCGGATTGACCCAGTTTGGGGTGCTTCTGCTTTAGCAAAGTCAGCCTGGAGACTCAAGGTTGTGTGTTCCCTAGACAAGGAGTGGAGAAGGGATTCATTCATAGACGCATCCTTCCCCCACAGCTGTGGGTGAATTAACATATGTTGCCTGGGACACCGGAATTGTGACTTTGCAGAGTCAGACAGGTTAAATTGCAAGTGATCTCTTTTGGAAGGCACAGTTCCATCTGTGGAGATGCGGGATCTCCTTGCAGCCCTATATGAAGGATCTAAACCTAACCCTGGCAGTGACCACAAGTTAGCACATCTGAGATGTCAGCCTCCTGCTGCTTCCTGTCTTCCTCCTCCCCCTCCTCCTCTTCTGCCTCATTGGGTTCTGGCATTTAAGGTTGTCAGCCCAATGTCTGGAGCAAAGGCAAGTTTGTCTGCCTTGAAGATACCTGGAGCATGTCTCTTTTGTACTGGCACCTCCGTGACAAGTCTTGATTCCTAAGGGGTCTGTCCTAAGAACAGAGTATGTACTGAGGTGCACCTGCTTAAAGAGGGGTCCCTGCAACAGATAGCTCTCCAACCCTCAGCTCCTGCTCTCTCCCCTGCTGTGTA